GTGCAAGCCAAAGCAAACAGAAGCAGCCGAAGACGGCCAAAAGCAACCAAAACCATCCGAAAGCAACCAGAAGCAAACAGAAGTAAGCAAAAGCAACGATACAAGAGCTACCCAAAGCAACCAAGCAAACGCGGAAGCAAGCAATTGATCGCCCGCGACAGCAATCGAATGCAAGCGAAAGCTAGCGAGTCCACCAAATCAGCATTGCAACTCACCCTGATTGTGTTTTGTCTATGTTACGCCTTTGTGCCAAGTTCCTACATTCTGGCCCAGGTGGCAGCCCCAGCAGTGGCTGGGGGTGTCTTATAGTGATGCCGACGCCCGAGCAGCCGCTTTAGAATCAGACCCATTGGGGGCCCGGGGAGGACATGGCAGATGCGTTTGGGTACAGTCTTCATTCATTGATCTGGGTGAATTACAACGACCTCACACGACCTCACCCCAAATGGTGGCTTATGTGGAGAACAGCCCCCCAACCGCCTTGTTTCAGGTTGGTGAAATATTATAATTCACCCAGATTGATTTATTGGTGCCATCAAGGACAATGCAAACCTTGGGTAAACAACGAACAACGACGAATCGGATAGCGAGTCAAACCAGTGTCAAAGCTGTTTGATGAAGTTGATTCTGCTTGACTTGCTGATTCCGCTCGTTTTATGGCACGGGCACGTATACATGTTGTGTGTATACATACATTCTACATGTTTGTGTCTGTGTGTATACATATGCATATGCTATCCCACCCCCAAAAACACGCTAGGTGCTATCCCCCCGAAAGCCAGGTGGCGTGCTGCATTTGCATGCTATTTCGGACAGGAACAAGTCGCGCAAATGAGGATGGATGGACAAACAGACTGTCCTCGGGGGTCTGTTTTTCTTGAATTTGCGGATGAGGACAACTGGCTGTCTGTCAGTTTGTTAAATCTTGGCAAGAGACCAATACAGCATACAGGCAAATGATAAGCTCACTTTTTCCTTGCACAATGCAGCCTGAACTCCGGCCCGGGCTTTTACGACCTCAGTATTGGTGTAGTAGTACTTTAGTATTAGCTGGACAGTATGATTGAAGTATTGATCATGCATTGCTGCTTCTAGCTTGGAATCAGTTTTGTATAGGTTCATTGTTGTGTTCCTAGTCTACACAGAGTTCAGTAGTACTTCAGCATTTGTTCTTAGTAGCACGCTCGCTTCAGCCGAGTCGTGTCATCAGTTCAATATTAGTTTAGCTTTGGTTGCATCACTGATTCTAATGTGCTTGGTCATACCTAGGTTTCCGTCTTGTAGACCCAGGAAAGTGAGACGAGTCAACCACTCAGCAAAAAGTACCCTTTTCGTTCTTCTGGCGATGTTACTTTCACTTTCCCCAGTAAAAGTAACCAAGTAAACATGTAAAAGTTTGGACCCATGACAAGAAAGAGGTAGGATAGCCAGGCGTAAATTACAATTTACGTTTTAGCTGTTTCCCTTTTGTAAACGCAGCGCTGTGAGCGCTGAGCTTTTCCACGTCCTTGAACAACGAGAGACGGGGAACCCAAAAACCAAGCAATTGTAAATCACAAGCTCGACCAAACGCAGGTGCTCGCAAGGAGCAGCACCAACAACAACTAGCTCCTTGGTTGGTGAAGTGGAAACCAACGGCGATCACTGGGATTCGCTCGGCTTGTTGCTTGGCAAGCATGCCAACTGTCACAAGGAGTCCGCGGCGTCCTGCGCTTCACACGCCGCAAGAAGCCTGCCGCATCCTGTGAGACCTGGATCGTTGCGTGCTCCTGTGCTCCAGAACTTGCGCCCGCGCGTCAAACTTGCACGCGAATGCTTGTGAAGTGACCTACGAGGGCTCGGTTTTGGAGCTGGGTTGTGTGGCAGAGTACTTTGAGCGACTGCGTGCTCCTGTGAGACCAGAATCGTTGCGTGCTCCGGCGAGTCCAAAATTGCGTGCTCAGGTGAAGGCCCGACCCATGAATTTCTGCGTTGGGACATGCGCCTCAGCAAATGCAAGACTCAAAACAAACCTCGAGAATTCCCCCCCAAAAAAAAAGAAATACACCTCAGCTGCCCTAAACATGTTTTTGGAGTAGTGGGGAGTTCTCGATGTTTGGGGGAATTGGCATACTGAGTTTTTGTATTTTTGGGAATTCACAAGAATCTCGAGGTTTTGGCCATTTGATTTTACTGAGTTTTTTTGATTGAACATCTGATTTTTTGCCATAGTTGCTGAGTTTTGGGAGTTATCGTGTTTTTTGAACATGTATTGGCTGCATTTACTGTTTCGTTTTTGGATTTTTTGGGAATCCCAACAAATCCAACAAATCTCGCAGTTTTTTTGTGATTTTTGCATGTACTGTTAGTTTGGAGCATTTCAATCCCCAACATAGTTGCTGAGATTTTGGGAATTTGGGACATTTGTCTTTTGGGAGTTCTCAATGTTTGTTGTGAATTTTGCATGTTGTTTTCTGGGATTGAACATTACAATCCCTGACGTAGTTGCTGATATTTTTGT